AAATTACGGGCCCTCCTTCTAGCGCCAAACTGTTGATGCTCGAAATTTGATCAACATGGGGGGTTCAGAGGAATTTATTGTGTATTTTTTGATATATATTTTTGGTATGTTCTTATGTATTTGAACCAAGAAAATATTGAAGAAGATGAAGATAAAACTCTCCTCTCTTAAGCGGTGCAAGAGAGAGAAAATTAGATCAAAAAATAATACAGGCGCCCCTCAGACTTATCTGTCTGTGTCCATCATTGGGGATATATATATATCTATTTAAGGGGCCCGATATTATCATAAGCGGTATTTATTTAAGGCCCAAAAATAAAATAATTGATATAATACATATCCACGTGTAATATTATAATAGGCTAGGCCAAAATTTGGTATCAACACATGTTTTATTATGTGATTATATTTATGCCCCTTAGAGTTTAAGTCTTAGATTGAATTGCATGATATTTTCTTATGTGTGAGCGTGAGATTGCATGTACGTGGAATTTTGCGATGATGACATTAGAGTCGGTCACTGCTCATATTTGTATCCAGCCTTGTCGCGTTCCTTCGACATTGATTCTTTGTTCGGAGATCTCTTATCATCTAAGTGGGACTTCTCTTCTGTTTGCTTAACCTTAGTTTTATCGCTTTGTAAAAGGTCAGCCTTTGTTTCTTCCATATTAATGTAGTTATTGCATCAGGCCAGTAGCTCATTACATGACCTCTCTGGCCTCTTCTACACGGTCCTAGCCGACGACTTTTGCTGAGAACCCCTGCCTTGATCTTCTCAGAAGCTAAGGGACCTCCACACATTCCTTAGTATAGCAAGATACGTATATCTGGAGAGTCTCCCTTTCTCTCTACTTCATGCTGATCAACGTGAGGTAGGTCTTCTCATGCTTCTTTGCACTGAAAATTGGTTAATAAACTAAGAATTGAGTCTCACGAAGTTGTAGATTGACCCTACTGATAACTAGTAGAACCAGTCTTGCACTGACCCCTTTAGCGTGGTAAGAAAAGCCCTACAACAAACCACCTCACTGTACTTGTGTAGAACTTCTCGAACGACTTTAGATTCCTAAATGGGTCTGTCGAGCCATCATAAGACAAATTCAGCTCGCAGAAGTTGTTAGTCAAATCCATCCCCAAAACCTCTTTAGAAAATGGGTGACCATGGATCTGAGGTGCCACCCTGCCCTCGACCTAGATCTGCAATTCTCGTAACTGGACTAGCAACCTCTCAAGTGCGGCATCCCGAACTGACCATGATATGGTTGTAGGCGATGATGTCAACCTTGTTGGAGTATACTTTAAAAGCTCGACTTTGTGGTACCCAAGAATACCATTTTGAATGATATGTGTGTTTTTAGTCAAGTGGATGTTCGTAGTTAATTTATTTATATGAACATTGTTCCTTTATTTTACATTATAAATATTATGGTTCTGGGTCTGAAATAGTAAGATGATATTATCGGTTCCTTGTAAAATATAAATAAATGTTCATAGCCTAGACATGAACTGAACTCTCTGTAGTGAAAGACTGTAGTGTGAATCTTGGAATTAGTTGATATCAGACTAATGGAATACACTAGTACATCCTAGATGTATTGAACAGACCCACAGGAGGATAAGATTATTTTTTACTGACCAAGTAAATTATCTAGACCTCAGTGATTGTTGTGTATTCTTAACCAGTAAGAAAATGTACGGGCATATTTAGTCGGCACTTACTTATTTGATTTATCATGGGTGAGACTTATTCTAGTAGGTCGACATACTCGATATTTTGGTAAGTAACGTTGGCTGCATGATGTGCCTTTAATATTGTTTACGGTCACCGTATCCTGGAAATGACTAGGTTGATGATGTTCTCGAAATGAGCTCAAGAAGAATTATTATGTCAAGCCCGACTGGCGGATTAATTACCGACATAATAATAAAGAATTTAGTGGTACTAGTTTCGGATTGGAGAAGTTGATTAATTTTATTGTCACTAATTTAAACTAATCAACGGACATCTAATCTTAAATACGGGGATATAAATCAAGCAATAAATTGGAGATGCTCATCTCTAATGCGTAAATATTGTTATTACATAAATTTTGACAAATGTCAATTAATTAGATGGACTGTGAACCATATAAGATAATTGTTAAGTTCAGAACTTTAATTATAAAAAATTATCTCCAATGCACAATGTAATCATGAACAATATTGCCCACTTGGCCAAAATAAAAAATATATAAATAATTTGATATTTTGAAAATGATAATAATATTTCTCTCTCATCTCTCCATTGGTTGGCTAGAATGTGAAATAGAATGTGGATGGACTACATTATTCCCTACATTGTATATATTAGAGCATCTCCAATGTGTAATATTGTAGGTAAATTAATTTTGCCATGTGTCAATTAAATAAAGGTGATGTAAATCCACATCATAGGGATGTTGAGTCCACAACTTCTTAAATTTTATGTGTTCCTCAATGCACAATGTGAACAACTCCTAAATATTATGGGCTTTTGAGAATTTTATATGTTGGGCTTTAAATTTACAATAATCCCAAATTTTGGGCCCCTCTGCACCGGCCAATAATTCGAGTACCAACATCATTCTCCCTATTCTTTATTCTATTCCATTTTTTGCTTTTTTGCATTACCTCTTGGACTGCGGAAGGCAAGCAGAAAGACACTATAAACAAATTC